GGCGAATGGCGGTGGCGGCCTGCTCGCTGCTGCTGGTGAAGACCACCAGACCGTGCAGAAGGAGCTGGTCGAGGAGCTCTGCCAGGTAGGCGTCGTCACCACCCTCAGTCTCCTCGCCGAGGCCCAGCTTCCGCCGCACCTCGTCCACCGTCACCTGGAAGGCGTTGCCGCGGTCGAGCAGCGAGAGGACGGTCTTGTAGTCGGCCTCGCGCTCTGCTGAGCCCTCACCACCACCACCGTTGAAGAGGGCGGTGAAGAGGGCGAGGTAGAGGCCGTTCAGCGTGCCGCCGATAAAGTCGAGCTGCGACAGGCTGAGCACGCCCCGCTGCAGGCCGTCCCGCAGCAGGCGCAGGTAGAGGACGGCGCCGTTGCTCTTCGCGATCATCTTGCTGAAGACGGCGTTGCTGATCGAGGTCGTCGGCGGAGTTGTTGAAGGATCTTCAGCCTTCTCCGCCGCCGCCTTTTCCCCCGCCGCCACCATACGGTCCTTGTTGGCCACCAGGTAGCCCATCAGGTCCCCGTAGACGTTGCCCTTCTTGGTGTCGTCGAGGACGATCTTCCGCGCGCCGCTGAACATCTTGGTGATGCCGCGGTAGCGCTTCTGCCGCGCCGTGATCACCACGTGCAGCCAGGGCGGGAAGGCGTGCAGGTTGCTGCTGATCAGCTCACAGATGTCCGGCCGAAGGTCGATGGAGTCCACCAGGAGGAGGTACCGGCGGGAGGTGAGCTGGTGGTGGCGGGCCACAACCGCCGCCGACTCCTCCCGGCCCATGGCGGCCAGCAGGCGGAGGGTGTGCTCGCGAAAGTGGACATTAAAGTTGGCCACCTTGGCGCTGGCGCTGCTGGCAATCTGCTGGCGGAGGGCGGGGAAGGTGGCGCCGATGGCCGCCTCGAGGTCGCCCAGAAAGTCGGTGGGCGTGCCGGCGGCGGCGGCGGCGGCGGCTGCCTTGCAGAAGAAGGGCAGCAGAATGCGGCCCTCGAAGCGGGCGCTGCTGCAGAGCAGCTGCATGAGGAAGGTCTTCCCACTGCCTGCCTGTCCAAAGACCACGGTCACGTTTTTTAGCGTCGGGTTGTTGTTGTTGTTGGCTGCTGCTGCTGCTGTTAGATTGTTGTTATTTGTGGAGTCGGTGGTTGTTGTTGCGGTGGTGGTGGTGGTGGAGTTCATGTCGACGATCTTCTCCATCTTGCTGAAGAACCACTCCCGCCAGATGATCTCGCTGTTGCTGCTGCTGCTGCCGCCGTCGTTCTCGTTGTTATCATCTCCGTCGTTTCTGGCGGCGCAAATCAGCCGCCAGTTGGCCTCCAGCTCGGCGTCGTCGCTGCCCATGGCGTAGGACGAGGTACTGGCTCGGATGATGTTGCTTTGATCGTCGGTTGTCATCGTTGCAGTTGAGTTGGGGTAAGTTGTAGTGTGAAGGTGTTGTAGTGCTGTTGTGCGCGTTTTAATTCAAGTAAGAAGAAGAAGAAGAAGGAGAAGACAAGAAGGTTGTGGAAATTATATAGTGGTGGGTGTGGATTGTGTTGAAGAAGAAAAGGAAGAGGAAGAAGAAGGAGTTGTGTTTCACTTTGTGAGTGAGAATTGTGAGTGCTTGTGGTAGTTTAGCTGTGAATTACGAGGACGAAGATAAGGAGGAGGGTGATGATGAGGGCGAGTAAAAGAAGAAGATGCTGAGTAAGAAGATGAGTGAGGACGGAGGGTGAGTGCTGATGGGTGAAGAATGCGGCTCTTCAGTACTCCTCGTCGTCATTGGCGGCGGTGCTGTTCAGGCTGTTCTGCTCCTCCTGGGCGCGACTAGTGGCGTTCTGCAGCTGCAGCCACTCCTGCTGCTCGATGAGGGCCTGCTCCTGGCGGGCCTTGGCGAAGAGCTCCTGCTGCTGGCGCAACAGCTCCTCCTCGGGAATGCCCAGGTGCTCCAGGCGGGTGCTCTGGCGGCGGCGCTTCCGCCGGCAGTCGTTCACCACCGACTCCGCCTCGGTCTTGTAGTGGGAGAAGCCCAGTTTGTCCAGTGCCGCCAGGACGTGCTCCGCGGACATAGTCTTCTTCTGCTGGCCCTCGCAGATGGTGTTCGCCTCGGTGGTGATGCGGTGGATGAACTCGCTGCAGCACTGGAGAATTAGCTCGCGCGAGTCGTTCGCCACGCGCACATCAGGCACCACCTCCTTGATTAGCTTGTTGATGGCGGCTCGGGGGATGGTCAGCTCTTCGTCATCCTTATCGTTGGAGGCCATTGATCAGGTGGTGGGCGCTCGAGGAGAGTGGGGAGATGAAGAGGATGTTGGCGGAAGAGAGAGAAGTCTCGCGGTGGACTGCTAAGGGGCAAAAAGTTTGGAATTAATGAGATGATCACCGAAAGATAAGACAACAAAAAGACTTTCGAACCTAGAGAGAACATCAATGCATCGGCATTTAGAACACACTGGATGGCACAGATGTAGCAATGGAGATGGTGATGAAGAGATGTTGAGAAAGGCACACACCGGCGGTGGTAATTGGCTGCTGCTACTGGTGGTGGTGGTGGTGCTAGGCTGTATCCAACCAAACATCCACCGAACTGATTTCTGGTCTCTGGAAATGGCAATCGAGGAGCAATGATTTATACCGAGACGGTCTTCTTACCTAACACACAGAGCAGCAAAAGGCAGCAGCAGCAGCCCTGGTTTGCTCAAGACAACAGAAGAAGAAGAAGAAGAAGAAAGGCAGCAGTGCTTTTTTGGCTACTGCAGCGCCATCTGCGCCACGAGGTGAGCTGCAATGCGTTTTGAATGACTTGAAGGTGTTTATTATGGCAAGTGGAAAAAAAGGAAGGAAGTGTAAACAGAGAGAATAATAATTATGGCTAGGTGGACAACAATATAAACATTGACAACACAGGTAAAAAAGTGGAAAGACAAAAGTGGTGGTGGTGCGGGACTAAGTGGACTGGAGGGTGGAGGATTGCACTGCACACTGGACTGGATGATGACTATGAGTTCTTTTTCTCCTTCAGAAGCAACGGCTCGCTCTGCATGTCCTTGCTGTTGGCCAGGTAGACGGCCTCTCTGCTGAGGAACCTGGGAAACGGCAGAGAGCTTTAGTTAGTTAACACGACGACAACACGAACAAAGGCCAATGACACCAACTGACTGACTGACACTGCTAACACTCACCTGAACCAGAGAAGCGGCAATGGGAAGGTGCAGAGGTGCCAGAGCGAGTGCGCGTCAAAGGTGAAGAGAAGCGGGGGAAAGTCGATCAGCTCGAAGAGCAGACAGAGGTTGACGCAGAGCAGGGTGAGCACTGCCATCCAAAGGTGCTGCTCCCTGCCTCTTCCTCGGTGCTGGAAGCACCAGAAGAGCCAGCAGGCGGTGGCGAGCAGGCCTGGTCCAAAAACAAAAATGTTAGCTCAGCTCCCCCAAAGTAGAACCTCCCGAGCACTTACCCGTGGCCACGTTCACCTTCATATTGTAGCCGTAGTCAAAGTGAACCGCATGCAGGTAGTAGATGTGGTAGGCGAAGAAGGCAACAAAGGGCACGCCGGTAGTGAGCACCACGGAAGGCTCTAGAACGCGGTCGCCATTAGCAGAGGAGAGCAGCTTGAGGATGACGGCCAGGAGGGAGAAGAGGACGACGGAGAAGGCCGAGTAGTAGTCCAGTTTCTCGCTGAGCGGCGTGTCGCGGCCGTGGTAGACGGTGGACCAGGCCCAGGCGTTCAGGCTGATGAAGGTTTGCAGGCGCCAGACGCCGTACAGTGGGTCGCAGTGGCCGTCTTTCGTTGCCACCCGTCGGTACTGCAGCCAGCCGACCAGATTGGAGGCGAAGTTGAGGATGGAGAAGAGGAAGGAGGCCGGCTCCTGGATGCCCGCCAGTCGGTAGAAAGTCCACTGCAAAAAATAATGTGTCAGTTACTACCACCACTCATCGCCTGAAGAAGAAGAGCCTCACCTTTCCGTAGAACTGCGGAACGTGGGCGATGATCTTCTTCTGCTGGAGCTGCTCCAGCGTCGCCCACTGCGCCTGCAGGCGACACTCGGCGGTGCAGTCCCAGCCGAAGAGGCGGAGGGTGAGCGGCTGGCGGGCCTCGAAGCGGGCCAGCGCCGTCCCGCTGGAGCAGTTCAGGCGGAGGCACTGCTTCAGGTGATTGTCGAAGATGATCAGCCGGTCACCGAGAGAGGCGTAGGCTGTGAGGTGGTGGGGGAAAGAAGACGATGTTATCATCTGAAGGCCACAAAGTAGAAAGCAGCAGAACTTACCAAAGTGAACGCCGAAGATGGCAAGGAGTGCCGCAGTAGCACAGAAGACAGTGGCAACCGAAGTGACAGGGCCGAGGTGCATGGCTGCTCATGACTGGCACTGGCACTTCCACAGCCGACTACCAACTGAAATGATCGTCGCCTAGAACAACTTCGTTGCTGTCGATGATGATGTCGGTGATGATGACGAAGATGACTTGAAGTTATGTAACGCTCTCTCTCTCTCTCTCTCCCTCTCTCATTCATCTGGCGAAGCCGGCTAGCAGCAGAACTGGTGGCAGAAGTGGTGGCCACCACATTTTGTCTGTCTGTCGACTGTACGACACACTGGCTGGCGCTGCCAATGCTGAAGAAGATAACGATGATGATGATGGCGATGGCGATGTTTCGGGTTGATTTGGGTTCTGCACTACACCTTTGCAGCTGCACAGCTGCTGTCAGCGGCGATGCTTTTTTGCCGGCACCACTTTACCGCACCCAAGCCCACTTCTTCCTGTGCTCCTCCTCCTCCTCCCCTCCAGCAGCTGGCGGGAGGCTATTTACACCCTCGCCGACAGCGGGGGCCAGCAGAGGCGCATGTGATGAGGGGAAGGAGAGAAAAGAAAAACAGCAGACAGAGAGTGACAAAAAAATGTGTCGAGGATAACAGAGCGACCGGGCCGTCGAAGTTGATTTCTTTTGTGTCTACTAGATTCTTCTTCAGTTACTTCTTACCTACCATTCACGAGCTTCTTCTTCTTCTTCTTCCCCACCCAAGCAGAAGTCACGTCATGTCGTGCAAGGAGGAGGACGGCGGCACGACGGAGCTGTCGGGCTCGCCTCAAGAAAGGGTAAGTGATGATGCTGCTGCCGGCAATGACATTGACAGGGTTTGAAAGGGGCTGACTAACTAACTAACAAACTTGGCTTCTCCCTCCAGGTGATCCAGCTGCTGAACANTCGGGCTCGCCTCAGGAAAGGGTAAGTGCTGCTGCTGCTGCCGGCAATGACATTGACAAGGTTTGAAAGGGGTTGACTAACTAACAAACTTGGCTTCTCCCTCCAGGTGATCCAGCTGCTGAACAGCGCCCAGGAGGCCACCGGCGAGCCGGAGAAGGTCTCGCTGCTGGCCCAGGCGCAGGAGTTCATCATCCACCGCGACCTCCTCGAGCCCTTCCTCGATCACATGTTGGCCTTTCAGAGCGACCGCATGGCCGAGGTGCGCAAGCTGGTGGCCGGCTTCATCGAGGCGACCTGCCGGAAGGCGCCGGCCTACTTTCCGCGCGTCACCGGCAGCCTGCGCCTCCTGCTCGCCGACGAGGTGGCCAACGTGCTGAAGAAGGCGATCCAGGTGTCCACCGGTCTCTACAAGGTCTTCCTCGCCTGGCTGACTCAGAGCAGATCAGAGGATGGTGGTGACAGGCCGTCGGCGGATGTGGCCGCCGCCACGCTGATGCTCTGGACGCAGATGAAGAGCTACATCTCGACGCTGCTCGACTCTACGGAGAATGACGGCATCCGCACGCAGTGCGTCAAGTTCCTCGAGAACGTCATTCTCTGTCAGACGAAGCGAGACGCCTTCACCACCACCGCCGTGGCCGGTGACTTTTCACTAGATCAGATCACCAATAATAAGCTCATCGAGGCGGAGACGTTCGAAGCGGAGGCGGCCAAGTTCTTCAGTCAGCTGGTGGCCTTTCAGGCGAAGCTGCACATCTCCAGCGTCAACCTGATGGCCACCATGCAGAGTCTGGCGCTCATTGCCCGCCAGCGGCCCGCCCACTTCTTCCTCAAGGTGGTGGCCGCCTTTGAGACGCTGAGCACCAACCTGCCGCCGACGCTGGCGAAGATTCAGGTGAACTCGGTGAACAAGCAGATGAAGCTGCTGCTGCTGATGCTCTTCAAGCACCCCTTCCTCTACGCCGCCAAGCAGCACCACAAGCTGCAGCAGCTCCTCCTCAAGGTGGGCGCCACCAGTTCCGAGGTGACGCGCTCTCTGAATGAGGTCCGCAAGCGGGGCATCAAGGTTGAGGCGGCGGCGGCGGCGGCGACTTCGGCGGAGGAGCCCGCAAAGAAGCGCTCCAAGGTTGTGGGCGCAGGCGAGACGGACGACAGTGGCAGTAGTGGCACTAATGGCGCCCCATCATCATCAGCCTCCACTGCCTTCAACGTGGACGCGGCGCTGCAAGACCTGGCGCGAAAGTTCTCCCGCCACGACGTGGCCCGCGCGACGGAGACCACCGCGAAGGACCTGGTGGGGCGGCTGACACCGGGCGGCAACGCGGACGCCCTCGCCGACCTGGTCCTCTCCTCGCTGCACCTCTTTCCCGAGACGCTCAGCGAGGGCCAGCGGTCGACGCTGCTGGCGGAGACGGCGAAGAAGACCCCGCAGAGCCAGGCAGTGCCGGAGATTGCCAAGCGGCTGGCGGCGCAGCTCACCGCCGCAGGGCTGGGTAAGTCGATTTGGGCGTCAGCTTTATTTGCTCACATTGACCCTTGTCCCCCCCCCTCTTTTCCTTCGTCAGGGCCCGGCGTGGAGGAGATGACCGTCAAGTACACGAAGTACTTCGTCCTCAGCAACAAGCTGCAGGTGAACACGGAGACGGCCAAGAAGATTCACAGTCTGGTGAAGCGGTTTGTCAGCCGCGATGCGAAGCGGCTCGAGGCAGCAGCAGCAGCGTCGACGGGAGGCAAAGGAGGAGCGAAGGGAAAGGCTGCCACGGCGGCAGGCTCTGCTAAGCTGGTCGCTTCGAAGAGCTCCGCTTCTGCAGCCGGAAAAGGAAGTGCCAAAAGCGGTGGCAATCAGCAGCAGAAGCAGGCGCAGCTACTGCGACAGCAGCAACAGGCGGCGGCGGCGGAGGAGGCGGCCCGGCAGCAGCAGGAGGCGCTGGCGAAGTACAAGACCATCGAGAGCGCCGTCAGCCGGATGATCTCGGAGCCGGGGGCGGCGGAGCAGAGCACCTGGCGCCTCTCTCCGAGCGAGCAGGAGGCGCAGCACCAGCTGCTGGGCAAGCTGCTGTCGGACTTTTCCCCCTTCGAGGGCCTGAAGACGATGATCAAGGAGTACGTCTTCCGGGACATCCGCTCGCGCAGCGACATCCTCCTCAACATGCTCTTCACTGTGTACGTGGCGGGGAAGGAGGAGGCCGGCGGCGGCGGGGGCGGCTCGCTCGACCACTACGCCGCCTGTCTCCACTGGGTGCTGGAGTGCGTGGTGAACCACCACCACAGCGGCTGCGCGGCGGACGTCAAGGAGCGCGACCACTACCTCGCCAAGTTCTTCGTGGAGGCGCCCTGCCTGACGGAGGACGCGGCCGCCCTCCTCAAGTCCTTCATCCTCGGTAGTCCGGCGCAGTACCCGGAGTGCGCCGCCTCGGGCGTCGCCCTGGCGAAGCTGCTCGTCCGCGTGAAGCCCCGCCACCGCGGGCAGCTGCTGCGCGTGCTACTGCAGGTGGCCGCCGACCCGGAGGCGAGGGAGGAGGCGCAGGCGGCGGCGCTGGAGGCCGTCAAGGGCCTCTACCTCGAGGGGAAGACGCTCGCCGTCGGCGGGGCGATTGAGGAGTTTGCGCTGCGGGAGCTGGGGCGGCTGCAGGAGCGGCTGCAGCGGCGGCCCAAGGAGGAGGAGGAGGAGAAGGGGGAAGGGCAGGAAGTGGAGAAGAAGAAGAAGAAGTCGGACGAGGTGAAGGAGGTCAAACAGCCGCCGCCGCCGCCCCCGGAGCCGGTCAGCGAGGCCATTGTTCGTTCCTCCCTTTCCCTCTACTTCCTCCTGCTGCCCTTCAACCAGAAGCTGATCCACCACCTGCCGCCGCTCTTCACCGAGGCGAGCCACGAGACGAAGCGGACCATCCTCCGGCTGCTGAACGGCGCCGTGGAGCACATGATGATGGAGGAGGAGGGGGACCTGATGGACTCGCCGGAGCTGGCCCGCCTCCTGGAGACCTGCACGGCGGCCACCGAGCTGCTGCCGCTGAACATCCTCCACAAGCTGACGGAGGGGCGGCCGCCCAGTCTGGCGCTCTTCACCCGGGTCCGCGACCTCTACCAGCGCGGGGTGCTGCGCAACATTCGCTTTCTCATTCCGGTGCTGAGTCGCTTCAGCAAGAAGGAGATCATCGGCTACCTGCCGCAGCTGATCAAATTTAGTCCGCATGTAGTTCAGGAGATCTTCTTCTACCGACTGCTCACGCGGGGGCTGCATGGTAAGTTGGAGNGGGGAGAGAGAGAGAGAGAGAGAGGTAATGTCTGTTTTTTGTTCTAATTTGACTGTCATTTTTCTGCAGAAAATCAGCAGCACCACCACCACACCTCCTTCAGCAGTCCCATCTCGCCCACTGATCTCCTCGTGGCGCTGCACAACATTGACTCCACCAAGTGCGAGCTCAAGTTTGTGGTCAAGGGTAGGTGTCCGAGGTTGATGTATTAGCAGAGTGAAGACTTCTAACATTTCTTTCTTATACCAGCCACTGACCTGTGCCTGGACGAGCGGGCCATCTACACCTCCGACGTGCTGGCGGTGGTGATGCAGATGCTGCTGGAGCAGCAGCCCCTGCCGACGCTGCTGATGCGGACGGTGATCAAGGCGCTGCGCGCCTACCCCCGTCTGGAGAACTTTGTGCTGAACAACATCCTGCAGAGGTGCATCGTCAAGCAGGTCTGGTCGCAGAAGGCGGTTTGGGACGGTTTCGTCAAGTGCTGCCAGCAGACGATGCCCAAGAGCTTCCCGGTGCTGCTCCAGCTGCCGCCGGCCCACCTGAGGACGGTCTTCGAGGACTGTCCGCCCATCAGGCCGGCGATGAGGGCCTACGTCCAGGCGCTCAACGAGCAGCAGCTCGCCCACATACCCGGCTCGGTGTACGAGCTGATTATGGCGCCCCCGCCGACNCGGTTTGGGACGGTTTCGTCAAGTGCTGCCAGCAGACGATGCCCAAGAGCTTCCCGGTGCTGCTCCAGCTGCCGCCGGCCCACCTGAGGACGGTCTTCGAGGACTGTCCGCCCATCAGGCCGGCGATGAGGGCCTACGTCCAGGCGCTCAACGAGCAGCAGCTCGCCCACATACCCGGCTCGGTGTACGAGCTGATTATGGCGCCCCCGCCGACGCCGTCACCGGCGCCAGCGCCTGAGACGCCGACTTCGGCGGCAACAACTACGGCGGCGGCGGCGGCGGCGACCAAGCCGGAAATTACCGCCAATTAGATGATCGCCACAAATATACTCTCTCTCAAGTGCAACTCTCTCTTCATCAACTGGGATGATGACATCTGGCGATGGTGATTAGGATGGCCACAACGACACACCACCGTCCTGACCGACAGAGGAGCACCACACAAACCTGTACATAGTATCTTTTCACCACCACCACCCCCTCCTCTTTCAATTATTATCTCCTGCATGGTATGTGTTTCATCTCGCGTGTGTGTGTGTGTGGGTCATCCGCGTGTCATCGCTTTCCACTCTGTATATACTACTATTTCTTCTGTTTTTTGAACACTTTAACTGCAACAAAAAAACTGTCGTGGCGTTTAATTCCTCTGCGGAGGGGATATGACAACGCCATGCTGCTTACCTTTTGTGCCTGTTTCACCACCACCACCAGTGTGTGTTGTCGTTTGTTTTTGAATTTTGTTGTTGAATTTGTACCAAGAGTTACTCTGTGTGTGATCAATCAGCTAGCAGTGGTAGAAGGTAGAAAGAGAAGAACAGATTTGTTTCGAGCATGACCATGAGATGAGCTAGTGTGCTGTGCGGCGGTAATTGGACGGTAATTCTTATCGCGTGGTGGCCAACTAAGAAATGGAGAAAGAGAGAGAGAGAGAGAGAGAGAGAGAGAGAGAGAGAGAGA